CAAGTTAACTAGTTGTAGAGCAAGCTTGGGGAAAAGAGATAAAGCGAGGCTTGTCAGGGAGGGGGGAGTATAAGATAAATGATCTGTTTGACATTTATTACAGTATAGTTAAAAGTGATAAGCATAAAGGAGAGTAATATGACACATTTTATAGGAATGCATTCATTTTCAGTCCCAACACCTACAAGTTTAAAGATGGAGGACTGAAAAAGATATTTAAAGAAATGAAATTTGAGTCCACTATAACCGAGTTTCCAAGTTCTAAGCTGTTCACTATAAGCGTTAAAAATAACATTATTTAAATAGGAATACGGACGGGACCGCTAAAAAAGTTCACTACATCCGAGTGTTCACTTTCTCCCAGGTTCACTATAGCGGGGTTCGACTGTATTTACAAATAGAAAATTTTTCAATTGAATGAATTATCATAAATATACTCCGAAACTTTAATTGTATGAAGTTCGTAAACATCGAATACAGTATCTAAAGGTTATTTAATACTTCAAAAAAAAAAAAAAAAAAAAGGAATCTTGAAGTTTGAACAACTCAGATGTCTTGGTATGACAAATTATGATTTCTAAAAATGGCTAGACATAAGCAGAGTTAGGCTTGTCATAACTGTTGCATGTCCACTACTACAACAAAGCTCCTCTCTCCTGGCTGAGTAATCTAGGACAAGTAGTGCATAACTTTCTGATCCATTTCTTCTCTCGTCAATCATTACTGGGAGCCTTCGGTTTCATAAAAAATTTGCTACAGTCAATTTTACAACAACCAATGAGCTGTCGACCCTATTCTATAATTTACGGCTTTCAATGATATACTACGTAACCTATATTTTTTAACCCAACCCAAAAGACAAGAGAATTTGCAGATCAAGCATTGGAACAAAACTAGCTTTTGTGCAGGACTTTTTGATGGAACTAATGCATATTTGCATTACATAGACAGGAAAGCCACAAAAACTATCCACCGTTAGCCCGGCCACAAGGGAATTATAACCCATAATCCCTCTTCCATAGATTTTAAGTCAGCAGTGTGGTTGGTATAGCCGCACAATTTGTACTGACTAGTCATTCCTTGGATTCAAACCTGGGTCACCTCATCAGGAGGTAAGTATTATCCCCCTGAGCACTGCGACTGCCATTTTTGTATTCAATTGTTCACTTTTGTTCCTTTTTTTTTGGACTAATTTTTGGTTGCATGCCATTGAAAATAAAAAATCTGAATTTAAGAGCAGCAATAAAATTGTTATAAGAAGTTTAATTTTAATTGAAAGTTAAGTTTAATCGAACAAAAGATGAAATTGGTTATGCCATGTCAAACATTAATAACTTTACCTACTCAAGATAATATAAATAAACAGCATTTTAAATGTAAACTAAGCCTGATGCAGATAGACAGAAAAGGAGAGAAAGAAAAATTTTTGGGTTGCTTCAGAGTTGCAAGACTCATGTTTAATTAAAGAATATAAATGAAATCTGTTAAATAGTAAACATTTTAAAGATAACATGTTTACCCTTTCAACCCACAAATGGGATATATACATCCCAAAGATTAAACTTTATTCCCTATTAGATAAACAGATCCCGATTTTGCATGGTTATGTTTTCAAGGTTCTTAAGGCATTAGGGAATAAAAATATGACTAAAGGAACTTGGCAACACTCTCATATTCAAAATGGCGGACTTCTATTTGCGAGCACACCAGTAAATCTCGTTTTAATTTAGGTATTTTTCGAATTTTTAGGTAAGTACAACTATATTTATGCCATATTTTATGTAAAATAGTTCAGTTTGTTCTTATTAAGTAATAATTCTACCTATTTTGTATCAGATTAGATATTTGGTCACATTTTGTTTTGTGGGATATAATGTCCCAATCGTACTTACCAGTCGGGCGATATATCCCATTAGTGATAAAAATATTACAAGACAAAATTTTGGTTTTTGTTTCGCGTATTTTATAAAGGCAACTTCTGGTTTCCATAATTTCTGGTAAGAATAAATAATTCAATACATTGATATTATTTTCATTATTTATTTCCATGTAATATATAGGTATTTTTATATTTAAGACGATCGGGACACATTGTTCCAGGAGATATCCGGGAAAAGTGGAAAACTTTAAACTCATAGTATACTTATTTTAATATGTTAGCATTAACATAAACTGCCTTTCACACTTAAATTTTAATGCTGCAAAAATCGAGTCGAAAGTGATAAAATTGTTTTATGGAGTAAAAACCCTACAAAATTACTGAAATATTTGAAAACTCATCCAATTTGAAAAAATGATTAATAAAATTTTACTTACCTGAAAAGCTGATTTCATGGCAGATAATCGATCTGTTTGAGGTCCACTAAACTTAGGTAAACTAGAATGAGACATACTGGAGACAATGCTACTTTTAGCTGCACCACCTGAATACTGAAAAAAAAAGTAAATAATTTCAAGCATTTTGGCAATTACATGTATACATAAAAATGTTTTTCTATGAATTATTTTCTCTAATTTAAAAAAAAGAATCAAAATTCCATAAAAAGAAGAAAACATAAAAAAATTTTAAAAAGGGAGAGATTTTTTTTGGAGTGGAAGATCGTAAAACGAGCTTGAAATTCAGAACTCATCCGTCAAAATCAGAGCAGTTGGTAGGTATGAGAAAAGCATTGTCATACTTTAGGCGCTTTTTTTTTTTTTTTTTTTTTTTTTTTTTTTTTTTTNCTTTTTTTTTTTTGGTTTATAAATTTATATAAATTTTTTTTGTTTGGTTTGGTTTATAATTTCAAAATTAAAAAAAAGAGAGATTCTAACGAGGAATTAAGGACAAGCAAAAGATCTGGACGAGAAAGTTTTGCTGCATATATGTAAAATGTGTGAAGTCTTCAAATTTAAACACTTAGTAGGGTCTGAGAAAATACTATGGTGACCTGAGATTAGACACAAAAGCCTGAGAGTTGGCAGGTCTGGTAGTACAGGAAAAAGTAGATTTGATTTTGTAATGCCATGATTCCCATTATTCCTCATATACTTCAAAATTTGAAAGTCAAAATCAGAAGAGCTGGCAGTTATGGTAAAAGCAGTGTTAAACAACTTGTTCATCCATTTTTTTTTTTTAATTTATTTCAAAAATCTAAACCTTTGTCACATTTTACACAAAAAATATTTAATAAAGAATGCTGATTTCAAAATAGATCTTTTATTGATCTTCAGGTATTTTTAATAATAAAAATCATGCGATTATTATTTTGGTGATCGTTTATGAATTTTTTTCACACAAGAACATTAATTACCTCACTTGTGATCTTTTGAAATATGCTTTTCGCATACAGTGATGTACATTTTCAAACTCAAATATCTTCAAAAAAAAATTTATAATATACAAATAAGTCAAAAATAAATATAATTTAATGACGTAAAACAAAAATAAAACATATTTCAATTGAAACGCATCTTACAACCTATTTTGAATGTGATGTCACCAATTTAAATAATATAACTGCTTATTTTACTTAAATAATTCAGAAAAATGTAAACATCATCACTGATTATTTACAGAAGGATTATAAAATGTTTAACTTTTAGAATTTTGATCAATTTGAAGAGTAAATTATTTTAGAACTTACACTTACATCATTTAGAAAAAACATATGTAGAACAAATATTTTTTTTTCTTTCAATTTCTCAAAAATATTATTAGATCTTTAAATCAATTACATATAAATAAAATTTTTAGTAAGATTTGAAAATATTTCACTAATACAAGCAGATAATTTTCTTACCATTTCTTCTGAGCCAAGCCCAGGTCTTTCTCTTTGCCCACCCATGTAATTCATCTTTTTTCCTTTCCCTTGCTTAAAACGAGATTTTCGGAACCAAGAACTCTAAAATAACAAATTTAAATAAATATAAAATTGTTAACATAGTTTAAAAAGCAACAGTTGAAATTCAAAAAGTAAATTTATAATTAATATTTTACGATATATATTGTTATTAAACAGAAAATGCCATTAAGAACAATTGATCATTGAAATTCCATTACATATGGCTTGCTGTCTTATAAGTGCAATAATAATTTAAATAGCAGCAGTATAAAGGAATTGATAAAAAAAGAAAGAAAAGAAACTTTAATTTTAAGGGATGGTGCAAGAGAATTGTACAATTGAATTAACTTCCAATGCTTTTTGGGAAAATTTCCTCAAGTGGTATCTAAGTTTATATATATATATGTTTGACTTTTTGCTTCTTAAATTTGATTAAAATTTATTTTCCACACTACTAAATGTGAAAGATTCAAAAGTTCATAGCAATCACCACTTTGTTCCAGCACTCTTGATAAATTTTTAAAATGCTAATTAAACCACCAAAAACACTGAAAGCTTTAATTTTTTTTATTTTTAATTGTCTACCGTTTTAAGAAATATTTTTAGAAAAGCATAGCAGCTGGTGCCTCTGAATTAACAGCTATTTTTAAGGGTAGACATGACATTTAAGTGCTAAAAGTACAATTCCATTTTTTCACCAGCAGAATCTTAAAGCCAAACAAATTGTACCTAATTTATGGATGGATATTTTAATTTATTTTATAACCGTCATCGAACAGCCGACCCAATTTTATGGGTTTACGACTACTAATGTCCAACTCCGTAGCCTTGTAATTTTGAACCCAACCCAGAAGACAAGGGAACTCCTGGATCAAATATTGTGAGAAATTTGCCTTTGTGGAGGACTTTTAGATGGAACTAGCCTGCATTTATGTTACATGGAGAGGAAAACCACGAAAACCTACTTCGGTTAGCTTGTTTCATAAAATATCTCTTCTTTATGTTTTAATTTATTTTTTTAACTTGTTAAACAGCTGACTCAATTTAGGGTTAAGGGCTAGTATAAATTGAGTTGCAGGATTTTTATGTATTTAGACTAAGTTACTGAAGATGACATTATTAGTTTTTCAATTAAGTATTTCCATTAGTATTTAATAAAATCTCGTATTACACCATAAAGATTCACGGTGCACTTCCATGGTGTAAATAATAATATTAGCTGGAAAAACTGTTAAAAAACATTTTGTTTTTTTATGATGTTTCGAGGAGTTCACCACACATTTGAGGGTTAACCATTGTTTACTGTAATTGAGAATTATTATTTGATTTTAACACAATAAATGAAAAAAAAATTCTAACTTTTATTATTGCCCAATTGAATGCACTACATAATTGAATTTTAGCATACAGGAGTTTTTAAAACTGTAAGGATCTTCATGACTTGTCATCATGATAAATAATTACTTTGATTTCGCCACAATAACTTTTGAAGAAATTAGAGAAAAAATATAAATTAGCAAAGAAATAGAATTACCTGCATGGCTAAATCCATTAATGCTTGAGGAACTGCTTGATTTGCTCCTTCTAGATTTCTAACTAAGTGACCAGCAAATTCCTTATCTTTATCAGTTACAAGCGTATAAGCAATGCCCTTTTCTCCTGTTAAAATAAAAATATATTAAAATGATATCCTATTCATTTAAATAAAACAATAAAATTTTAGTTATAGTTGCTAAACAAATAACTGATATATTTTAAAAGTTATTTAGAAAATTATATAAGAAAACAAACAGACTAGCAATATTCAAAAGAATATTAAAACTAAAATTTAAAAATTCTTAATAAGTATTTTTTTTTTTTTTTAAATTTCTTATGAGAATCAGTTTTATTTCTTTTAATATTTCTTAAAAAATAAATAATAATAATTAAATGAACATCTTTGAAAAAAGATATTTAAAAAAAGCACAAAAAAAGGTACAATTTCAGTTTTTATATTGAAGGAACAAAATCCAATATATTTTGCGTCTGTATTTGAGTATGCATTATTCTCTCTCACAGAAATATTTTGCCCAATGTAAATTCGGGTGAAATTAGAAAAAGTAGAAAATATTAGCACAATAGAAGTCTGTGTAGCTTAGTATGAATTTTCTTCTTTTTTCATGCATTAACTGATAATAACCGATACATAACTTAAATAATGGATTAAAGCAGAACTATAATGAAATGTGAATAATCATATTTCCTAGCTGCCAACATGTAAAAAACAAAAATAGGAACACAAAGCATGATAAGCCAATCAGGGATAATAGTGACAAGTGAAAAATCCTGAAAACTTTATGGGCAAAAAATTGATATCAAGACATCAATTTATAAACTATACATGTTTCATATTTAACATAATTTCTTGAACCAACATTTTTAACTAAATTACAAACTAATGAAGAATATCACACCTTTATAGTAATTAGTTTAATAAAAACTTAATTCTTACAAGAATCTTGATATTGGATTGTAAAATTGAGTGAATCTGAATTTGGATAATGGAATTTATAAACACGAAAATACAAATTGCGATATCGTGTTCTTTAATTGAATCAAAATAATGAAATTGGCAGAAGAATTATATGTAAACATCTCGTTAATGGAATTTAGCATAAGTTTAAGAAGTTTGTTGGATTATAAGTTTTTGTTCGCGAACGAATGGTTCACAAACCAACTTATTAAGTTGCGGATTATAAAAGCAAAGCATTCCACTCACAGAAAGACTGTACAACTATTTTACAGACTAAATTTATTGAAAAGAAGAGAAAACTATAAAGACAAAAAGAACATTTATCAAACTGTAAATCACTCTATCAAGCTGTGACACAACAGGAAGTGACACATCTCTCTCCAGGAAGTGACACAGTACAGAAGAAAACACTGGCCATCTAGTTGTTTACGATTTGGACTTAGAAATATTTTCCAACAAAGATAAAAGGAATTATGCGATATTCGTGAAAAAATCACATGCCTTGCTTCTAGTTCTTAGATCCACCCTGAGTTGAAACAAAATCAGTATAAGTTGTGAAAAGGCTCTAGAATTCTGAAAAATCAGAACGTCGCTGAAAAATCGAAACAAATACGATTTAATCGGAACAGTTGGCAGCTATTTTTTTAAAATGTGATAGTTCGCAATAAAAAAAAAATTTCAAAAATCCACATGAAATAAACATAACATAAATATTTTAATTCACACAAGATGCAAAGATACCACAAAATATAGTATATTAAAAGAAATAATACAAATACTTTGTGATGATAAGCAAATAATGTTAAAAGGGGAAAAAATAAAAATCATTTCAACAAATTTAATTTTAGCAAGTTTAAAACAATAAATAATAATGAAATAATGGCAGTGGTTGTTATATATGGCATATTTGTTAATAGCGTTATTTGCTATATGACATATTCGTTATTATAACGGCATATTCGTTAATGAAACAAGAGATTAAAAAAGCAGAAACTTGTTTCTAAAAAATGACTGATTAAACTAGCTCAAAAGATTCTGAATCAAATATTGTCTAAACATGTGCTACCTGGATCCAGCCTTATTTTTCATTTGCTTTACCTACAACTTCTATCCTTATTAAAAATACATTCATAATACAAAAACAAGATTAAATTAATCCCACGATAAAATAATCCTTTTTTTTCTTTAAAAAAAAAGGTAGAGAAAAAATATTTACCTGCTCTACCAGTTCTACCAATGCGATGAGTATGGGTGTCGATATCTCTTGCGATGTCGTAATTTACAACAGTTTTTACATGAGTTATATCAAGACCACGAGCTGCATGAACATTGAAAAAAATCATTAGTTATTGCAAAATAAACCTATTTAAATATAAATTATAGAAAAAATTGATAAACACAATTTACGATAATTATAATTAATTATACTGACAATAACTTTTAGCAGTTATTGACAGTATTGATTCATTCTCATTTTGTTTCAGCAGTAATATATTGTTAGAAAAACTAATAAAAAGGCATAACAGCAAAATTTTTTTTAAAAATAAATTTGAACAAGATCGCCAAAATTATTCAGGAAAAAAAACCTGGCCTGATTTCATTGAGTTTCTCTCATTTCTTTTAATACAAAACCATTATAAAACATTTATATTTGCAATTAAAGCTAAAAATTAAAAATTTTAAAAAATATTCTTACAAGAGCAAATCGTTTGGAAAAAATATTTGACTTAATGATACTTCTAACTATGATAATTTTCCTTTCATAACTTTTGAATATTTTAATCAAATTCCCTAGATTTATGAAATTCTCTGAAATAGATTAACTTTTCCTTAATTTCTCTATTCTGTGGCCACCTAGACTGATCACATTAAAATTATTTATTGATTTAAAAAAAAAAAGCAATGCCTGATATTAACTAATAATAATGATATTAATAAATCATTACCAGCAACGTCAGTAGCCACCAAAATAGGTACTTCTTTCTTTTTGAAAGAAAGAATTACTTTGCTCCTTTCGTTTTGATCTATATCTCCATGAAGCAAAGCAACTGGAAAAAATCACACAAAAAAAGAAATCATTAATTAAAATTACGAGCAAAATAAAATACATACATAAACAACAATAAAAGCATCTAATTTCATTGAGGAAAACAACAAAAAAAAAACTATATCCATAAATCCTTTATAATAAAAAACATTGAGATGTTACAAAATAAAATTAAAATTTACCCACAAAAATTTGAAAGAATATATTAATTCATTTTAGATTACACATACCATCATATTCCTTTAATTTCAGGTTATTAGACAGTTCTTCAGCATTAGCTTTTTTGGTGACAAAAATCAGAACACTGCCAGCTTTAAAAGAAACAATAAATGGAAGTAAGTAAAAATATTTTCTATTAAAGAAATAAAGTATCATTTTTTCTTCCTTTAAAAAATATAAAAACTTAACAGCACATCCTCGCTGACAGTTATGAAATGCAATACATAGAATAAGTCAGTATCACTATATTTATAGACAAATTAAGGTAATTTTTAAAAACTAATACTAAATGTGTGATAAAAATTTACATTACATGCATTTGATCTCAAACAATAGTTTAATTATATAATAATTGTTAATTTAAATGTGTGCTGTAAGCTTAGGATTTGTCAAATAATAATGTCTTAACTAACATTACCACTTAATTTTTTCTTTAATTAAAAAAAAGCTGAACTTACTGTTTAATGAAACTGTAACGTTTATAAATTACTGCATTCATTTATTGCAAAGCATAGAGAACAATTACTATTACAATACATATTTAAAAAAGAAGATTAAATTCATTACGACATTAAAAATGACGATATTTAGTTTACTCAACTAAAACAACAATGAGTCATATTAAAAATATAATTCCTTAAAATATCTTTTCTTGATTCAAAGAAAACTCTTTTCGTTGTTTTACGTATTTTAAACACAATAAATTACCCTTAACAGAGAGCAAAGCATTAATATTACTATTTCTCCTTTCATGTTAAAAGGCTCCCAAATTTAGTTATTTTTTGTACCCTGAGAACTTGTCTAATACTGTGCAAAAGGCAAACAACATGTTAGGCAAACGACCAGAGGTTAGCCTGATGGCAAGGGGACTCTAACCCATGAACAGTCTACCACTAAGAACATATTATGTCACCACTGTGGTCTGAGCTGGATGTGGAGTATCAACCAGCCAACACTAGGATTTGAACCCAGGTCACCACATTAGGAGACCAGTTCTCGAGCTACTACAGCTCAAAGACAACAATGAAATTTTCAGGCAGATACATTGCCCCGGGATGTACATCACATAAAATAATCGCAAACACCTTACATCAATAAATACCAATTTAAAATATACCAATTTTAAGTAAATCAAAAGATTAAACAGCTAGAAGTTATTAAAATGAATAATCTAGTTTTATACAAAATTGTAAATTTTAAAAAAAATGCATTACAGTGTAACGTCCTACATCCGGACGTCCCTTTTCCAGAAAGGTCGATTTCTCGGACACTTTTCAATAATCAAAATAAACAAACATTTCTTCATTTTCCCCTCTCTTAAAAAAAAAGAAAGAAAAATAGTTTTTTGACAATTTTTTTTTCTTTTGAGCTTCTAGTGATTTATGCTTTGAACTCATAAATGAACAGAAAGGGGAAGAAAAGATCTACCAAGACCATCAAGCAAGTGACAGTTAGTGACGCTCCTCGTGTTTTCAGAACAGCACAACTGAGTCCCCTCCTCCCTTCTTTCCTGTGCTGGCTAGTAAAAGAGGCATTTCCTGGAACCTTTTTATTAGTGTTAGGGAAAGAAGAAATACTATGAAAAAGGGTAAACACAGCAAACGTTAACGTGGAGGGAGACTCACTTTCAGTCACACAAGAAAAAATAAAGAGAACCCAATCAGCATGCCACGCCTTTATGCTTGATTGATAGCCAATGATGGGAGAGAAAATAAGAATTTGTCACTTCCCTGCCCTCAAGAAGGCCAAATAAGGAGGAAGTGAATTTTTCTCCCCCACCTTAATAAATGACGGGAATTTCCCCTTCTTGCTTGAAGATTCAAAATGGCGGAGAGAGCAATTAATATTTTCATAACTGTTGATTTTTTTCTTCTATAAAATATAGCAATAATTTTTTTCCTAATATTTTGTTATTCATTGATTAGATATCATTCTAATACTAAAACATTATTGCCTGAAAAAGAATGTTTATTTATTTTTTTGCTTCTTAGATTCAGATCGTTTTAAGCTTTGTTTACCTTGGGGGTCTATTATACGGAAAAATCTAATATCCGGACTTCCAAAAGTCCCACCAATTCTGGATACGCGACTTTCCACTGTGTATGTTTTACAACTAATTTATAATATACCTATTAGAAATAAAACCAAGTGATTAGACAGCTAAATAATACGAAAACAAATTTTAAAGACAGAAGAAAGACATAAAAATGATCTTTCTTTAAATCAATGACAAAAACAAATAAAAACAGGAATCCAAAAATATACACATTTTCCATCCATTTATCTATGTGCAAATCATGCTGCGTCATCTTCAAATCCTAAAGTTGTACATTTCCAAAAAAAAAAAAAGATAATAATAAAGTTGACCCTTTTAAGGAATGATTTGCATATTTATTTTCCTCTCTTTCCTGTAGCAGAGGAAGAAGAAAAGGGAAGGGAAATCATATCTAAAAACTTGAAGACGTCAATGATTTAAGAGGCTTTTGTGGCGGAGGGACATTCCTCAACTGGTGGAGGGGGAGAAGGTTCCTCGCGCTATGTTACCGTTACTTCTCACCTGAGTCAGAAATAATGGTAACATAGCATGAGGAACCTTGCTACCTGAATTATATTTTATTCGTCCAATTTTTCAATTAGATTTTTTACAAACTTCATTCATAAAACCTGATTTTTTAAAAATTAATATTGGTCAAAAACATACAGTTACAATACGTCAAACACTGATAAAAAGATTCTTACACGACAGAAGTTCGACCAATTTACTAGTGAGCCAAACCCATTTTGCAGGACCTGCTGGCATGACAAGGACAATTTGTGTGACATCTTCATTTGCTTCTCCAAGCTCCCCTTGAACAATCCTAACTGGATCAGTAAGAACATCACGAGCTAACCTCTCAATTTTCTTCTTAAATGTTGCACTAAACATCAATGCTACACAAAGGGATGAATATAATCTTTAATAACTCACAATTACATAATAAACACAAAATGTCTATATGGACCTGATTTAATTTTCATACAAAATGTAATCTTTATGGTTTAATGTTTTTAAAATACATAATTCAGGTGATTCTAAATGATAAAATAACTCACAATTACATAATAAATACAAAATGTTTATATAAATTTGGTGCTGATTTAATTTTCATAATGAAATACAAACTTCGTGGTTTAATGTTTTTAAAATACATAATTCAGGTGATAAATAATTTCCATTCAAGATATAGAATCAGTGAATATGTAGTTATGAAATTTTAAGATTATCTATAACATTTTGCAATAAGATTTAGCAATTGTGATCCAAATACAATATACAATTTGAATATACATGTTATACTTGCATTATTTAAAGTAATAAGCAGTTTAAGTTTTTCTCTTAAATATAAATTTTTTCCAAATTTAATTAACTTGTCTGGGTAGTTGGAATTTGAAATTGTAATTATAATGTCATGTTAAATAAGTAAAATGTAGCTTTATTATGTAAAGAAACAACTGAATAAACCGCTTCTAAACAGAATGCATAAGCTTTTTATCCTACTGTCCTCATAAAAAAGCACTTAATGAGAAGTCATTCAATAAAGAAGTTCCTTTTGAAACAATTTCTTTCTACTGGTTTTAATTGTTATCAAAAGGAATTTTTGTTTCAATAAAAGCAGTTTTTTTTAAAAAATAAATAGATAAATAAAAATCATTCATCAAATTTTTTAAGAGTTTTCACAAATTTCTAAATTCTGAAAAATGATTCTTGAATAAATCTGCCTTTTTTTTCCTCATCTTTTTTTTTTTTTTTTTTTTTTTTTTCAAATGTATGTTTAATATTTCATTTTTTTTTTTTTTGTATTCTCCTGGAAATATAATTATCCTTTAAAAACACGAAATTTTGTATTTTTATGTTACTACAAACAAATACAAAAACATTTGAAAGAGAAAAAGAACTCAAAGAAAGTGATTTTATTTTGCGTTCACAAAAAGTTAAATTCGTAGGCATAACCAATAATAGTTTACTTATTTTGGCACTAAATTAAAAAATAAAATTTCTGCAAATTCCAGGTAGTCAAAGTAACCTTATTGACCCTTAGAAATGATATATATATATATATATATAAAAATATATATAGANTATCATATAAGAGTTACGTGGCAACTTTGACGATTAATTAACTGATGTGGCAATTAATTAACTCTAACTACTTAAGTAAAACTAAGTACAAAATTTAATTTTATACAAAAGTGAAAAGAACAAAACAGAAATGAAAAACTTATATAAGAAAGTAAAATGTCATAAGAATTCATACTTTGACGATCTGGACGTACATGGTCACAAATAGAACGAACCTGAGGCTCTGCAAAAGAAAAAGATACATTCTTTAGAAATGTATGTAAAATTTTCAGTAAAACATTTAATAGAAAAAGAATGTGACTCCCAAATTGTCAACAACCTCAACACACAATTGAATAAAAATAATTTTTTGTCAGCTTTGATAAATTAGATAGAATTGATTACAAAAATAAGCAATTACACACCAAATCCCATGTCAAACATTCTGTCTGCTTCATCAAGTACAAGAAATGTGACTCGCTTTAGATTTGTAGACTTAGCCTTTATATGATCAATCATTCTACCCTGAAAACAATTTTATCTGCATAAAACATAGTTTTGGATCACACTAAATCTTTTATGAAAGAATTATTCAAAAATTATGGCAATGATTATTATAAACTGATTAAGAAAAATATGTAACAGAAGTTTTTCACAGTAATCATAAATAATGAGGGTAAATTATTTATCAGTTGATTTTGAGTTGTTAAGCTACTAACTATAAAAAATGAAACAAAAAACAATAATACATTTCCACCTATGATAGGTACATTACTTACACATGCTAAATTATGAAATTATGTTAGAACAGTATTTCAAACAGCTAACAAGAGCAGTATGCTGCAACATTCAGTTTTTAAATATTTGATGCAACAATTTCAATTAATAAATTAAAAAGAAAAGAAAAGAAAAAGCAAACTTAAATACAATACGAAGAATAGTTGGTAGCATCACTTATTAAGAAATACATATAATTAAAAATAATTAAGAAAATTAAACTAGTTTTACTGTATTAACAAAAGTGATAAATAATCTACATGTTTGCCGCAAAAAGAACAAAGGTTTTTACTGAATATTAAAATTAGTAGATTAAAAATTAAACAATGCTTTATTTTAATAAGTATTCGATAACAGAATAATTGTTAATAACGTGACTTGCTTTTTTATGTTAATATAAAAGCTTTAATTTTATATCATAAAAATTAGTTAACTTTAAAATATGAGAAGACATTTGTTTGAGATGCTTGTTTTTTCTAAAATAATTTTTTTTTTTCAAATTTAACTTCCAATTCTAAAAGTAAATCATTGATAGCATTGTCTTTAGTGCACTCTGACTGCTACATGAGGTTGTATCATCAAAAAAAAGGTCTCTAAATAGGAGCCTCACACAAATATTTTGAATACAATTTAATCTACTTTTTTGTTTTGTTAAATTTTTTATTTTAATATTTTTTTTTGTGTTTATTATTTGACCTTTTCTGCATTTGGTGCAGATGTTTGCTCAGTCACTGAGAGAGGTTTTGATGGTCTCCCCTGAAGGCTTTCTTCTACACATAATCTATGGGGAAAATTCCATGCCTCCCAAAAGTGGTCGTAAATACAGGCGGTCGTTACATAGAGGTAATCTTTCCTGGAGGCTTCACTGTCTCACACATTTTGATAAATTTTAACGGTGGTGAGTGCCCTTTCAAAACTCAAACTGCCCTTTCCTGTGAGGAAGCACGCTGCCCTTTTTTATTCCCACGGAAAACTCTAAGAATATATGCGGTATTCATCATTATTCTGAGTAAAACGTAACTATATCTCCTTAGCAGAAAAAAAAATGGAAAGGAAACAGAAAATTGTCTCAGAAGGATGGTGAAAAAAAGAATTGTTCTATAAAGAACAGAGTTATTCAATAAATATTATATTTACATAAAAACATAATTACCGGAGTGGCAACAACAATTTCTGCTCCTTCCTGAAGAGCTTTTGTTTGTTCCCATTTACTTCCTCCTCCAAAACAGCAGACAACATTGATTCCATACACTTTACCAAATCTTTTGGCTTCCGTGTAAATCTAAATAAAATAAAAAAGTTCAGAATCCTTTTTTTTTTTTTTTTTGCAAGATATTTTTTAGGAATTAGGAAATTTTTCTATTGGTCAATTGTATCATTTTTAACAGAGTGTAAAACATTTTTAAGAGTTGCAGCCTTCTAAGCTATTTCCAAAATTAAGAATTTCGAACCATTAAAAAACTGCTCAGCATCTGGCTTGCACCGACCACAATGCTGACACAAAATATCCTCAATGGTAGACAGTACATGGGAAAGAGTCCTTTTGCCAACAGCTTAATGTGGGAGGTTTTTAGTGGTTTTCCTTTCCATGTAACGCAAATGCGGGTTAGGTCCATCAAAAAGTCCTCAACAAAGGCGAATTTCTCCCAATACTTGATCTAGGAGATCTCTTGTCTTCTGGATTTTGTTCAAAATTACTAGGCTACAGAGTTGAACACTAGTAGCCTTAAACCCTAAATTTTAATAATTCCATATTTATTAAAATATAATTATAATAAAATGCATATGGAGTGCAGTTTTGACTAAAGCCTTGCCGACAGTTTTTTAACCGTAATTGGTAATATTTAGTCTCCCTGTGTCAGCAATCGGATTTGCACTAAATTGTATCTAAATAATACATTTATTTTTTAAAACTTTTCTTATAAATAATAGAAAAATAAGTCAATCAATGAAGCAAATGATACAGGCATAAGTAGTGTTAATTGAAAACAAACTATATAGTATCTAAGCTGAAGCAATAAAAAAACTAAACTATAATTTACTAAGGCAGTACTTTCAGAATAAGACAGACAAGGGTGTTTCTTAGCATTTACAATTTTCAGAATAAAAACAAAAATTTTGAAAGTTAAAATTCGTTTTCCATTAATTTTCCAAACATTTTAAGCAATATATAGAAATTAAAAATAAATAAACAAATAGTGGCAATGGTAAATAAATTATGAGGATGGTACATTATTTTAGATCTTATATATCCAACATTGGCAACTCATAAGTTTTGCAACAACCCGATGACAACGCATGGAGTTATTGTAAACATTTATGATTTCTTACTAATATACCATCACTCAAAACAGTTTACCCAACATACAATGCAATCCCTTCATTTAAGAACTATAAACTAAATCATAAAAGAATTAAAATAATTTTTCACATTTAGTATGCAGAACCTCTTCTTGCATCGTAATCTTTCACAAAAGTACATTTATTGTGCTTAAATGAAAGGATTACAATTCAAACCTTTGATTTAAGCACAATCAACTAAATGAAAGAAAAAAAAACTTGATTTTTCAAATTTTTTTAGATAAGAAATTCTATTACTACTTTAACTGGTAACCCCAAATTCAGTTTGCCAGTTTGGGTTACAATCTGGCAGTTTTGCAACACAGAAAACCAGTTTTTCATCACGTTAACCCATTGACGATTCAGCGCGTAAACAGTCATATTTTTACCTGCAGTCTTCTCCGCATAACAAAACCTGCTTTTCCATGTTCTTCTATAGAGATGTAGTGTATAGGGGAGAAACATTCTCCCTATTTCACCCTTTTGCTAAACTACCAGTGGGTTAATCAATATCAGAACTGATCTTGGAAGCAATTTTATTGTACTAACTATGTCAAATAATAATTAACTAATAGCTTATATGCAAATCGAACTGAAAAATATCAGTCTCAAAAATACCCAGAGAAAAAAAAAGTAAAATAATTCATAATACCTGCTGTGACAATTCTCTTGTAGGAGCTAAAATTAAACCTATAGGACCATCTCCAGGTTCTAGTTCTTTCTAAAAAAAAAAATAAAAAAATTAATTATTTTTCATAATATGTAATAGAGATAATTATCAATTTTAAAACAGCTTACGACTCTATTACTAGTTAACCTCATAAAAATGACCCTAAAAGATGCCAAATATCAAATAAAATTTAAGTCTGAACTATCAAAGTATTTTCCATAAAGAGAAGTTTAAGACAAGGAGACACCCTCTCTTGTATGCTATTTAACATTGTATTGGTAAAAGCAAATAAAGATGCCAATATATACTAGATATAAGATTATCCAAAAGTCTGACCATTATCGGCTTATCTAGGTGATATTGATTGAATAGGATGTACCAAACAGGCTGTCTTAGAGGCCTTTACCAGGCTTGAGGCTTCTGCTAAAACATTAGGTTTAATTATTAATGAGGATAAGGTCAAATGTATGGCAGTCAATAATCGAAATTTTGAGGTTTTATCTCTCGTGACTAATGATTATTGAAGGTGTCAGTCATTTAAAACAGGATTCCAACTCAATTCAAACTTTGATTCTCTTACTTGTAATGCCAAGTATTAGATTTTCTGCATAAATTCATTTCAGTTTGTCTAAAATGTGAAATTTTTACAATAAATAATTGTAATAGACGTTAGAATTATTTAACTCGAAATAACTGAGTACTGTTACTGACAATTTTAAGACAGGTTATTTTCCAGGTTTAATATAGGAATTTTCCATGTTTTTGTAAAAAAAAATTGCCACTTCCCCTGACTATTCCCCGATTTTTGGAGTTAAAATAAAATTCCCAGACAATTCCAGGTTTTCCCTGTCCTCTCTGACCCGTGGGAACCCTGTTAAAATACCTAGAAACAATTGTTAATAATAACAAAATAGAAATTAATAACAGGATAACAAAGGCTAATAGGTGTTATTTTGGGTTGAGAAACCAACTGAAATCAAAGCTCATAACTATATCAATCAATCCATCATAACTAAAATTAATTTATCATAATTCTCTCCCTGGATTTCTTTATGGCAGAAAATACTGGCCTTTAAATAAAACTGAGGAAAATAAACTATTAATATTTAAAAGAAAAATACTTAGAGCCATCTTCAGAACTGTTGAAGAAAATAGTGTTTGGCAAATTCAGTACAATTATGAATTATACAGAAAATTTAAGCAACCAAACATAATTTCAGTTATTAAATCCTATAGAATAAGATGGGGGAGGCACATCTATGGAAGGGATGATGGTAACACAGTTAAGAAGCTGACTTTAGAAAAATTTACAGTCAACCGGAAAAAAGGAAGACCAAACACCAGATGAACTTATTTTGTGGAAAAACATCTCAAAGCCAAGGGAATCAACGAAGTGGAGAAACCTAGCTAGTAAGAGAGTTGGGGTGGTTCTGGCCTGTATTAGGCTGTCTTGCTGATGGAAAAAGAAGAATAGCGATAATAAATTTTATCCCATTATATAAATTCTGCTACACTGCCAACGACAACAGAACTGGAGATTTTCTTTAATAAATTCAAATGTTATTTACAAAACTATATCAATTAAAACTACTACATTGACCAGCAGTAATGCTCTAAAATGGAACATCTTCTAAACATATACTTAATTCATAACGATTTAAAATTAATAATAAATATAACTAAATCAAATTTATTCTTTTTTAAACAGAAAAGTTAAATTTAAAGATATCTTACTGCAGTAGAAGTAGTCAAAATCCACCTTTAAAAAAAAGCATCCCCCCCCCCTGATATTTAAAACAATTTTTTATGTATATATAGATTAGTATTGTTGGATTAAAAGCTTTAGTGTTGTAACACAAATACATAAAATATCAAGTTATAAAAAATACAAAAATAAACTGGATAATTTCTTAAAAATTTAAAGACAGGTATAAGCTTTAACTAAATAAAAAAGAGAGAGAAGACGAAAAAGTGTGTAACTACCACAAATTAACTATTAATTGCTATTGTATGATATTTTTTTCATTAAAATTGCAAAAGTAAAAAAAAAAAATTGTATTTGTAAAAATCATTTTATTGCATAAAAAGCAATACAAAGATTAAAAAAATTTTAATAATAAACAATTCATTCCCTTCCTCATAATAAAATAGTCAATCATTTTAGATCAAAGAATTTTTATTCAACACACAAATTGTATGTTAAAACCAAAGCAAAATACAAATCTTATTAAAAATATATATTGCAAAAGAGAATAAATAAATAAAAATTAAAAAGAATTTTTAAAAAAAACTTGCATACTATTGGTAATTACCTGTATAAATGTAACTACTGACAATAGCATAATAATAGATTTAATCAATTTGTCACAGTAATAAATATTTGACTTAAGCTATTTTTACTAGCAGAGTAAAATAAATACAATAAATTTTCAACATACTTGATCCATTATGTGCACTAGCATAGGCCATAAAAATGCAGCAGTTTTACCAGATCCTGTCTTGGCAATACCAATTACATCACGACCTGCTAGAGCAGCAGGTATTCCCTAAAATTAGGATAAAAATTTTTAAGTTCTGACAAACACATTTTTGAAATCAATTTTAAAACAAAAAAATAAAATGGAGAATTTAAAACAGCTGTACAATTTATTATGCTTGCAAAAATTCAATTTACAGTACAGCATAAATTATTCATATCTATTGAATAACACAGATCTTATGTATTTTCAAATGTAATGTAAAATTATCATATTTTTAAGTTTTTGAACTCACAGAACTCTGAATTAGTTTTACATTTGAATATAGGCTTCATATTAAATATGTATACAATTTTCATTGTTTATGAATTAGGCACAGAAAATACATTTTCTAACCTGAGCTTGTATAGGAGTAGGTTGAGTATATTCTGATTTTCGAATGGCCTTTATTAAGCTTTCATCAAACCCGAAATGAGCAAAACTGGCAACAAGCTTGGGAGGAGCGGGACCAGTAACTTTGATTCCCATTTTATTCCGTAATTCCTCGACTTCATTCGGCAATAACTTAGCAATTTCTTCATGTTCTTCATAAAAGTTTTTCTCATAACTTTCATACTGTATTTCAGAGTGGTCAATCTTAGGCAAAGGATCAATGTACTAAAAATAAAAACAACTCTTATAAATTCTAAAATTAATTTTAAAGAAAAAAATAAAAGAAAAACAACACTACAATATTTAACATGATATAATATATTCCTTTTGAAGCAATGTATTGAAACAGTTTTTTCAAATCATAAGAAGGAAAGAAATTAAGAATTATTCAATAATCATCAGATTTATTTTTCAGTTTTGAAGACAAAAATTAGAATATGCATTTCTTTCTCTATCTTAACAATGTATTTCAGCAATCAATTATAGTTTATTTAACCTTTATTATCCTCTTAATATTTGTGTACAATATTTAAATAACAGTCTTGTGAAAATTAAGGCCTCAAACTAAGCTTTCAATTTTGTTCATTTATTTAATTCATAACAAACAGAACTTGGATTACATATAAATATAAAACTTGGTTACATATAAAACTTGGAACTTTCTAAATGTATTTTCATACATTTAAAAAATTCCAATATCCAATTAAGCATGTAAGTTAAGAAGATTATAACATGCTTACATATAATAGCATGCATAAAACAAATCATACATGAATTAAAAAGATGAAGCATCGATAAATAAATAAATGTAACATTAATGTGACTAGAGTTTCAAAATTAAGAATCAGGACATAAAAACAACTGAAGGAGGGGAGCAATTTTTTCCTCCAAAAAAATATATGACTGAACAGAAGAATTTCAGATTTCATACAAAAAAAAAAAAAAAAATTTCATGAGGCGCCCATCATCCTTCTCCTACGTATTTTCGAAAAGATAGAAATTACTTTTAAATTTTGAAATAACAGTATGGCTAACAAATTAGCAACAATATCTAGAAATACCAATGAAAAACTTAAGTTGAAAAATACTTTAAAAGTAATAATATTACAAAATTTGACAACTTTCAACAAGTGCAAAAAAATCAATAGGAGTTTTTATTAGAGTATCAATCAGTCATACCAGTTGCTTTGAAAAAAATTTTCATAACAAATTTTCATAACCTCTCAAAAAATCTGAAAACTCCCAGCATGACTAGGAAAATTAATCTTAATTAGAATTTAAACCAAACTCAGTGGCATGACAGCTCATAGAGGGCCAAGGCCTACTGTGCCCATCTCAGTTTTCTTGACCTTGGGCTCTGGGGTGCAAGAGCAGATGTTCCGGATAGGTGGTCAGCCGAATGCGGAACCCCCAGTGTTTAGTTCTCAAGCATGCTCGGTACTCATTTATCGACCCATCATCGAAAGGCTGAGTCGACCTTGCCCGGACCGAGGATTGAATCCAGGACCTATAGAACGGCACCGCGAGGCGCTACCACTCAGCCACCGGGTGTCCTTAATTAGTATTTAACATTTTAATAGACAGTTGAGTTTCTTTAATGCTAAATCTAGTTTTTTTTTAAATTTATTTTTTGTACTTTCCTTGTCTGGTGTAACTTATAAGTAAAAGTGGACAGGAAATTAATTGAAAATTTGGGATATTCTAGCAAGCTAAGTGAGGCAAAAAACAGGAACGCCACACCAAATGCAAGCCACATTAATAACCTGTGCAAATCATCAATTTTAAATCAACTTAATGTACATTTTTCAATAAGTTACCTTCATTATATACAGTCAAACCCGGCTATAGTGATCCTTCAAGGGACCGAAATTTCGGTTCACTATATCCGTACTGCAAACAATTTTAACTTATTTTTCTGAACTGCTCCCTTTTATTACACATTATTTAAATAAATGACCCATAAAAAGAAATACAAAAATTATTAAAAAACAATATGCAGTAACAAAAAATGTGTAAACCTTTATTTTTATTACTCTTCGTTTTGCTTACAAAAAATTTAAGGATGGGAAACTGAGATAGAAGAAGCAAACAAGAAAAAAGGTTTATGGCTACAATTCACTCAATAGATGGCTTTAAAAATCGGTATATGTATTTTACGTAGAAATTTCAAAATTACAAAAAAAATTCAGGAAAAAAAATCTGTCGAAGACAGAAAAAAGTTCATAATATCCAATTTCCTTTCTTCTTTTATTTCACTATATCCACAAAAAATAATATTGTATGTGTATAGCAAGGCACGGGAGCGAACATTTCGTTCACTATATCCGAGAGTTCACTATAAACCATGTTCACTATAACAGGGTTTGACTTTATAATATTAACAAAATTAACATATTATTAATGTATGTTACCTTTAATGCCTATCATATGCAAATTAACAAACATCATCATAAATCAATGAAGTTATAAATAAAACAATTGAAATAAAAAACTTTATTTATATTTTCACCAATTTATTACTATCAAAGTTTAAATCTAAATCACATTTTTAATCTAAATCATCTTAAATTTATTACTTGCGTCATCACTTGTTATTTTATTACTTGTATTTAAAGCTTGAAATATTTTACTTGAAAAAAGTTTTATTTTATTAACAATACTTGTTAGACAAAATAGATTTTTTTTTCTCAAGATTTTAATGTTATGAAATAAAAATGTTTTACTTTTGATTTAGCAGGAGCAATAGGATTTCCATCTTCATCATATTCAAGTTCACCTTCACTATCTTCTTTTTCAAGGCCAGCGAGAGGATTTTCTTCAATGTATCGGTAGTATGATTCTTCGTCATCCTCATTTTCAATATCTTCTCGGATACCTCTGCCAGAAAATATCAGATATTATGACATACGGCACTCATTTTTTCTTTTTTAATTTGAATTAGGTTACAAAAATTAATGCTAAAATATAATTTAAAATATATATTTTTTAAGGCTTTAATTTTTTACAAAAACTTAACTTTTTCCTTTATATCTTTTCATATGTTTAGATTAATAAATAAACAATAATAATAAACTTATATCTCCTGAAATAAAAAACTAACTCTATCTGACAAATAAGGCTGTCTATGGGCTGAAAAGATTTATTAAATCTGGGTTTCTTTCTAGAAAAACAAAGTTCTTAATTTACAAAACTCTTGTCAGGCTGGTCTTGATATATGCTTCTGAAGCTTAGACAATGTAAAAAATGGAGGTAAATTATATCGGAATATTTGTGAGAAATATTTTGAGGAGTATACTTGGTGGTGAAGATTTAACTTAGAACCATACCAGATTTATAAACAACCTGATATTATTAAATACATAAAAATAAACAGAATGAATTGGATGGCCCATATAATTTTAATGAGTGATGACAATACAATGAAAAAGATATTGCTAGACCCACGGGAACAAGAAAATGGGGAAGGCCGCCGTTGAGATGGGTTAGCTCGGTGGAGTCTGATTTTCTTGCAATTAATGAAAAGAATTGGAGATCAAAGATAAATCGGAAGTCGTTATGGAGAAATCTTCAGAGGAAGGCATTAATCTACATTGGGCTGTCTGGCCAACTATGATGATGATGAATAAACTTAGGAAGATATTTTAAGTTGAGATAAGCCTTTTAAGAAAATACAAAAAAAAAATCATTCATTTGAAAACTAATTATACTTCAAAAAATAATCAAGGTTCAATAGAACCTGGGTTGTTTTATGAAAAGACCCTCCTGGATATAAGTGGATTTTTTTTTCAAATATATTCTATGTGCATACTTACATATAATGAAGACAAGAACTAGATTAGACATAGTACATACTAAAAATATTGTTTGATTATTACCAAAGGGATTGATAAAAGAAATGGTTACGAGAATATGTTTCAGTCATTTTTACGTTTACTAAATGTATAATGAATTGCATAATGATGAAGTTACTGAAATGATTCTTTGCAAAAATGTAAACCATAATATGTTACACGATTAGTTTTAAATTATAAACACATAATTTGAGGTTAAGAATAGAATTTCTAAAAGTATTGTATACATTCAGGAATTGAATTGCATACATCTTTTTGTAACACATGGTATGTTTATTTGTATTTTTCAACATATGAATTCTATAAACATCTTACTATAAACAAAAAATTCTAAATTTTTATCTTTACGATACTTTTTGCTTTTGGAATGAATTAATAAAAGATAATAAAATTTAAACACTTGTTTTGTAAGCATTCCAAGTAAAGCAATTTAAAATTTTAATAGAGATGCAGAAATGCTCAGTCAGTTTCACTAACAATTATGTATGAATGAACAATCAATATCTGGGTTATCTTCTTAATTCGTTAACTTTTGCACCTTGAAGCAATATTTCTCATTAAAATATTTATTTTCATTATATAATGGTATGCTTTGCTTAAAATAATCACAGGGAGTAGACAAAATATGCATCAGACATATTTTGTACTGAAATTATATATATTTCTTTTAAATAATTTATATATACTTAAATTGTCAATACTATTTCGTATTCCTCACACACATATCTGAACTTAAGTAATTTACTATATTATGAAAGTGTTACAGAAATAAATTCATACATATTTTAATTTAGATAGTGTAGTCTACTTAAGCATTTATAATTAATATTTTTAAAATAAATTGTATTTTTGGTTCAACACGCTTTGCAAGTGGTTACACAAAGAAAATTACGAATTAAAAAATTTGTAGTTTTAGTTTCAATAACTCAGTGGCATTTGTTAATTTCAGATAAATCGCTTAAATGTAGGTCATAAAAAAATCAAGAATAAAACTTCTATATGAGTTAACTGAAATTTTATTGGGTTATTTGGATGAAAAGTTTTATTGGTTGCAGGCACAAGGTATACATTTAAAAAATGCCACCAAAACAAATTTCTACCTATTTTTAAACCATAAATAACTTAGATGAAATATACAAATTGTATTTTAAACTAACAATATCTATCATATTTCTAAATTACTATAGAGCAAATGGTCTAGTAAAGAAAAAATTTGTCTTAAAATTTTTCCAGTAAATTATAATTAATTGTTTCTCTTTGTAATTATCGCCCACATGCACAAAAACGCATTTTAAAAACAAGAGTTTTGATTTTAACTTATTATGTGTTTGCTTAAAAAATATAGTCTTACTTAAGGTAATATAAAAATATAAATGATAGAAAAGTGATTCTTACGATGGAATTCTTATGAAAATTCTTAACGTTTCTTCAAAATTTTAGATATAATCAATTTTCTTACAGAATATTATTAAAAATGTTTACTTATATTAACTTAATAATTATTTATTCATAGAAAAAAATTACATTTTTTTTATGTGTTTTGAGAGCATATAAGTGAGAGGACAGTAATTACATTTTCCATTTACAATTTAAAACTATTACTAAATTTTTATTTTTGAAGTTTTTCATTGCTGATCTTTGATACTTGTAGTTTTTATACTTGTAGTTTTTATACTTGAAAACTTGTAGTTTTTATGTAAAAATTATAAACATTAAGTTAATTATGAGACGAATTTTTCCTAATTGTCTTAAGCAAAAGTTAACATCAAGAGAAAATCACCCATCTAAAGTTCACCCATCTACACATATACCATTATTTCAATATTTTCATAATATGATCTTTCTTTAGTAATTAACAAATTTTTACCAAATAAAATACAAGCAAACAAAAATAAGATTTGCATTTTTAATACTCATTAAAATGTAAAATATAAACTAATATCTAAGTGTCATAACAATTTCACTAAACTAAAAATTTTAAAAATCAGAAAGTCTTTCTTTATATCTTTTTTTAAAATATTTAAACTTTAAAGAAAATTTTTCTGCTACAGATTATAAAATCCATTAAGTAATTTTACCGTTTCAACTGAACGAATCAAAAATTAAAAAATATTCTTTTTTGTTGAGCTATCATAAGAGAAACAATGAATTGATATTTTCAAATAACAACTTGGTTTGATAGTTGCAAAAAAGGAAAAAAAATTGATAAAAAATGATAAAATATTACTAAAAAATAAATAAATTCAAAAAATCAAAAATTAAGAAAAAAAAATTCTTGGTAGATATAAAGATTAGTTTTTCACAAGAGGGTTTATCTGGAAAAACATTCTGGGTTTTCCTGAGCTGTACCCACCTTGGAGAACCCTGTAAATAATGCACTTTCATAACCATTTACCATTGTTTACTGATAATGCAGGGTGTAGGGATATATATGTAATTTTTTTTTTTTTAACATCAGTTTATATATTGTGCAAAATTGGAAGAATATAAATTACGTCATAAAATAAAACAGATCATGTTCCATTCATCACAAGCATATAAGAATAAAATATGAGGAAGAAAAACTCACTTGGCCTCTTTTTTCTTCATTTTTTCAGCATGCTCCTTTTCTATAGCAACTTGATTCTAAAATAAAAACATATTTTTTACAGAAATTCAAAATCAAACTTCTTTTCTTCTTTTTTTTTAAGATTCAAAGCAACATATTTTAAAAGTGGTCACTCACAACTGCTTTCTGAGAAAAAATTGTCAGAATAATTAATCTTTATAATGAATAATAGGTTACATTTAAAAATATTATGAATAATTTTTTCCACTCATAATTAAAACCTATTAACTAAAAATGAAAGTAGAATGTTCCAGGTTCTATCAACTATCTTATGGGTCTTTTTTTTCCATTTGAAGAACAGAAGCAGGATTTAATAGTTACAATCATACATGGCCAAATTTTCAGTTTAATTACTTGTAACTCATTTTTAGGCTCCTCCTAAAAAGTGAGTTAACCGCCCACCATGGTGTCTCAGTCCATCTCCGTGTGAGTGTCATCAGCAAATGTTCTTATGTTCTTGCAGAAGATATTTCTTAGTAGCCAGTAAGTCATAGAAGGGTGGGAGAAAACTATCAATTCGGATTGGTAGTGGTATCACTTTTCTTTTGATAGGGTTTTACTTCCTTAAATAGTTTTGTTTAAACAAACAATTTGATGAATCTTTGATGCCTTATTGATGTATTTTGACTTACGCTACGCCCATTAAAAAAAAAAAAAAAAAAAGACTTTTTTTAAAAATAATATACACACAGCCTTGTACCAATAAGCATAGGTTGAGGTTCCCTGTTCATCTTATATAATTTAGTTTGAGACAAAGAGCGGGGGAAGAATACCTCGTAGACTTAATCATTTTAAGAAAAGGTACAAAAACTTATTGTTTTAGATTTGAAAAATGCTTTAATCCATTTATTTTATTTTAACCCCTTAACGATCAGCTAATTTTCAAGAAAACGGTCGATCAGTGTTGACATCTAGTTTAAAATAAACTAACTATCTACAATTACCATAAAAATATCCTGGTACTGCCATCTGATGAGCAAAATGAGAAATAAAATGTATTCCAGGCAAAAGAAATGGATCAGTTTTACTCTCATTGGCGCGTTACTACTGAACACTCCAGCCTGTAAATTTCATGGGAGCGAGAAGGAAGGGGTTAAGCAACAGCTTTAGCAACTATATCTGCGTTTTTCTAAATAATTTCTATTTATTTGATGCTACACATTAAACCTTTTACAAATTAAACATTTTTTGGCATTTAAGCTTTAAAATATAAAACCTTTGCTTCATTTAATTAAAATATAGTAAAGCAGTGAAAAAATAATTTTAAGAGTTTTATTATTTATTTGCTTTTAAATAAAAATAATTTTTTCTTCTTCGAATTTTACCACATGAACATTTAGTTCATCATAAGAACAAATTATAAAATAAAACTTTTGTGCTCAATAAGTTTGGATTCAATAGGGAATATTTATATTGCAAATTAAAGAATCATAATTATATTTATTAAAACAGAGAATCATAATTATATTTATAAAATGAAATACTTGAAAATGAATAAATTTTTTTACTTACTTCTTCAAACAAAAAATTTAATATTTATCGAGCTTCTTCAACAAATTAATTTATTACTACAAAATCTGGTAGTGAAAACAAAATTTCTAAAAGTTTCGTAATTTTAAATCTAATATTTTTTTTTAGTTGCAAACACTGAATTTTGATTTTTGGCTTTGTTCCTGGCTATTTTCAATATTCACTATTTCAATAAATTTTGTAACATTTTCATGCATTTTAAAGTTTTACACATTTCAATTACAATTTAATGCATTTTAAATTAAAATTATATTTTTTTAATAAAATTTATGGTAACTTAGAATTTTCAATTTCCTTTTTTTTGTTGTTAAAATTACTTTATACAGTATATTTTGTATACATTATACTGTATATTTTGTTAAAATTAATTATTACTTTTTACTTGCTTTTTTTGCTGGCTAATAATTTGAAGTCCTTAATGTGGGCCCTGAAAATAAAATATCTGTTAACAAATAACAGCATAAATATATAAAACTTTTGACAAACCCTTTTGAAAAAAAAAAAAAATTTATATAATAGTTAAAATAAATTTTATATAGTTACAAGCAAATTTCTTTTTAGTTGACTTTGAGCAACAAATAAAAAGTCCAAATTTAGAGAGATAAGTAAAGAAAATAATGCATTTCTTGTATGGTAAACTATCAGAAAACTTGGCCTAGTAACTTTATTTGTATTATATATTTTTGCGTATTTATTTTAATTTTTATTATATGCACTCAAGTGAAAATCATACCTTTGTATGGCATTCATATAACTTTTAAAAAAAATTTCTTTATTTAAGTAAATCATTCATAGTACTTAAAAAAATTAATTTAAAAATGAAAAAAAAAAATATATATATATATATATTTATAGCATGAATTTTTCCAATTACATTACTAAACCCTGTTGACCTCAACACAGTATTTTCTCAACACAGAAAACACTGTTTTTGAGCATTAATATCCAAAATCGGATATGCATCTCCATTTTATCCAAACATATATTTAACAGTTTTTTTTTTATATGAAAAAAAATTTGAAGAGATTGAAAAGGAAATAAAATATCATTATTTCTCACAAAAATATTAGTAAACATCAACATACATCCAATCCAGCCATAAATGCATCTAAAGGATCTTCTTCACTATCAGAATTGTTTTTAGAATTTTGAAGATCCCAACTTGGACTTCCTGGAGCAGGTATATAAGCAAGAGCATTACTGTTACTACTTGAAGAAGGTTCTTCATCATCTTCTTGTTCAAAGTATCTAGCAACAAATTAGAAAAAAATTGATTTATCAATTTATATTAAATAAAAATAATTAAATCTAAGTTGTAAACATTGAAAAAAAATAAAAAAAATATTGACCTTTCTTAATCAACATATTATGAAAGAATTTTAATTATGTAAAAATTAGAATTATATTTTCATTTTAAATATTTATTATTAATAGTGTAACAATCTACGAAGTCTCTCACATTAGTAGATATCCAGTGGGATTAAATAAATGAAATGCTAATACTTGAGAATACTTTCTTGTTCCTAAAATGAAATTTGATACAGATTATGGATATTAGGTTCATTATGGTAATCTGATTTTAGCATTCTCTCAACGCAGATCAAACAAATTCAAAAAATAGATAAGAATTGTCATGCAGTAAAATTTTTTATAAGTCGATCATACATAATATTTAACCATTGAATTTTTTTTAAATCTTCAGTCATTATTTTATTTAATCACTTGTTTAGTCTTTGCATCTAGTTCTACTTTCCTTTACCTTTAAGTAATTTAGGTCTTTCAGAGGTAGGAATTAAAAAAATTTAGCGACCAGAAATTAAAACATATTGTTAGACATTGACAATTTAAAATTAAAAAAAACTTCAATAAACTTAAATTAAATTAAAAATTATAATCCAGTGAATATGTGGAGTCACAATATCAAGAAATATACTTTATAGAGATAAAAACACAGATCGAAACATGAAAAACAAAAATAAAACAAGATAAAATAAAACAGCATATCATCCCTTTATGCCTAGTTAGTCTGAAAGGACCACAAAAAAATTATTTTATTGGCAGAATTTCTTCGAGCTATCTGCGACAAAACTCTCTAGTACTAATATCTTTCTGCAAGGTACTTTTAATAATAGCAAATATACATGTTACTAATTTAAAATAACAAAAGCACTGTGTTTACAAAAAAAAACTATTTATAATTTTTTTAATTAAACAATAATATTAATATTATTGGTAATATTCTCGCATTTTGTTGGGGGAGGGGGGAAAGCACCAAGTATTTCTTTCTTCGCATTTTGTAAATAATCATCACAATAAAAAATAATTAAAAATGATGAAATCCGTTGTAGTAATTACCACAAAAAGATTGACACTGAAATCAAGTGAATCGGACTCCTCAAAAAGGGGCTACTCAAATGCATGTTTCGTTTTGAGATTAGGCTGTTGTAATAAATAATAATACATAAAAGATATCGGATTTATAAACTATGGAGAAATCAATTGCAATAACAGCCAAAAAATCGAAAGAACCGTAGCCTTAAAAAGTAAATACTCAAAGGCACGATTCGTAGTGTTTTAAATATATTGGGATATTTAAAAACCACATGAAAATCAATAGTAATAACTGCCGAATATACAATCGAAACATTATACTGATTTACGATACAGGGTTCCCACTCTTTTACCATAATTCCTTAGGGGTGAAATCTTAAAGGATTCTCCCTTCTTAGCAAAAATTAAGCACTTTTAAGGACTTTTTTTTAAAAAAATCCCTTTTTTTAAAAAATTAAGGATTTAAATAATAGTACAATAGTTTATCATCGAATATACATATACCACCAGTGACAGTGCTAATTACTTATCTCTCGTGAAAAAAATCAATAAATAAAAAAAATAATAAAAAACAATTTTATTACAATGTAAGCACTGGTATATAATTGTATTAATTAAAAGTGTAATTAATTGTATTAATTGTATAATTGTATTAATTACACCTTAAATCATTCTACTTTTTCTCATCAGGCTTAACTTAATATGTTGTTTTAAATTCATTGAAATAATTATTTTTATGAAAGTTTTAATGGAATAAAAATACAACTATGTTACAAATTAACAACATTTCCCGTTGTTTTCTATTGATATGATACATTTATGATGATATTTGCCTTCAAATAAATAAAGATGTTTTGAGGTGTCACCTCAAATAAAATTAATTGTACAGTACAGAACCCGTTATCCGGAAATCAGAAAACCGGAAAACCAAAAAACCGGAACGAAATTCGATAAATTTTCCCGCAATTTTTTTAAAAAAAATTTTTTTTTTTCCTCATAAGATTTTAGGATTTTTCTTTCTTTTTTGAAAGATGTTTAACTTAAAATCATTTTGGAAATAATCATTAGTGTATTACTTCATCGTTTTTTCTTCTTTTTAAGATTATTCCCCAATTTTTTTTTTTCTTAGTTGGGTTTAACAATGAGAAAAACGGCTTTTTGTAGTGATTCAGAAAACCGGAAAAATCAGTTATCCGGAATAGCGATGGTCCCGATCGTTCCGGATAATCGGTTCCCTACTGTATATAGCATATCAAATATAAATTATGGTTTACAAATATTATTATAAATTAATTTTATGTTAAAAAAAAATTTAAAATGGATAAATTGATAAAAGAGTTATTCAGATATATCTCTTTGCTTACAATGTACCAATATTTTAATGCAACTTTTTGAGATCTCAGAATAACATTTAAAAATATTCTTACACAAATATGACTTATTGCATGGTTGTCATTAGCAAGGTGAAAGGGGAACAGTTGGTATATGTCCCCCCTCTGTAAGTACACCTCAATATTTCAGATGAATAAAGAAAATTTTAATCCATTTAAATTTAACAAAGTTAAAAATGAGAGAGGCGTAAAAGAAATCAATCTTAATGAAAATTTTTAAGACATATATGTTTCCTTATTTATGAAATTTTAAGACTGTGTATTTTAATTATTACTCCTGTGATGCCTTATTGTAATGGTCAACATGCGAGAGAGTGATAGTCAGGTTATAAAGATTTTGCACCTTTTTAAGATAAATTCGGTATTTGACAATAGACAGCAATTTACAAAAGGTGAATAGTTTGACATGTTTTTCTGAATTTGATTTGATTCATTTTAGGTGTAGATTTATAAATAGAAAAAATAAATAGGATAATGAGCTTACTCTTCTTCAGTCTTCGGCCTTTTACGAGGAATACCATAAGTAGCATCAAGGGCAGTTTGAGTAATAGCTTGTAGACCTGTATATCCATGTTTATTTACCATTGGTGGAGGAGGCATTGCTGATAAGGAATGAACTGGCTGATCTTGTTTCTTTCCTCCAAGAGAAAAACCACCAAATCCAAAGCCTCGTGGTTTGCCATCACCTCCTTTATGAAACATTTTACTAAAATCATAATAAAAAAGAATAAATTAAATCAGAAATCATTAACCAGGATTTCACAAAATCATGGTAAAAATCGAATGATTGTTTTCCTAAAAAAAAATCTGTGATTTAAATCAAATGACTTTTTTTAAAAAACAAATCACCAATTTAAAAATTCACAAAGCATTTTAATATAAGATTGTTTTTATTTTCATAGTTTTTAAAATTTCTTATAAATATATAGCTGCGGTAATAAATATCAATTTACGCGATTTCATAAATGGGGGAGATTTCCATATCGTGATCTGTAGCAGAATAATCGCCAAGTCTTGGTAACTTCCAGGCAGCAGTCAATGAGAAACTTTAAAAAAAAATTACAGAAAAGGGACCAACTCGAAAGGTATAACTTGTAGCCCCAACCTCGGCAAACATCTATATGTTTTTTTAATTGCAAGTTTAGAACCTATTTGGCAGCTTGGCGATTGTAGTTGTCGCAACAGATCACAAAACAGAAATATCTCCCATTAATGGGTATGTAATGTGTAAAAATCTATGAACACTTTTGAAATGACACTCTACAAATCTTTTAGATTTTTCAGAATATAAATATGAAAATTTAATATAGTTTTTTATATACATTCTTTTGCATAGGCATTGAATATAGATTTTTTTTTGTGCAGTAATGAAAGTTTTACCGATTCTTAGCTTTGAAACACAATATTTAATAAAATATGTAGTGGTTAGCCCAGGGATACTATTAGCCCAGAGATATTATCCCCCTTATTAGGTCCCTCTTTTTCCTTCAAGTTTCTGCTATTCTATTGTCACCAAAACTAACGATAGTTTTGATGTAGATACGAAACTTTTCCGCCGTAGGGCAACAATTGGATGATCTATAATATAAATTGGTACGATTTTTGTTAATTTATTTCTAAATAAAACGAATCAGCTTTTAATATCATAAATTTCATCCCAGGAACTATATTATTTTGCGCTTAATGTAACTAGATATTAAGTTTAAAGAATCATAAATTTTGACTTAGCAGAGTCATTATATATAAATCTATATACAATGGTTAATTTTTCAATTTTATAAACAAATAACGAAAGTGATATACAGAAAACCACAAACAATTATATTTACCACTTCGACTTCTAAATACAAGTACACTAATCAAACATAGATACTAATTAAAATAATAGATATAAATCAGTTTTTCTAGTCTTTAGGATCTCTAAAAAAACGCTCACTATAAATAAATATACATGAAGTGATGCCAAAAAGCCTAAATTAAAACTTTAACATGGGAAGTTTTCACCGACCTTTTTCTGCCCAAATAAAATCTTGTAAGTTTCAAAAGAGGGACTTATGAGCGATAAAAGCTGAATGCAAACTATTTCTTAGTGAAACCTGTGCTAAGAATTTTAGTTTCGTTTTGAGCGTTTTTTTTTTTTTTTTTTTTTTTTTTTTTTTTTTTTTTTTTTTTTTTTTTCTCGTTTTCCTTTCTTAACTCATAAAACTAAAATTGTCAGCTAACTGACAAAATGTAAATAATTCAACTCGTTAAAAAATTATGAATTTTATAAAATAATCTATTTATAAAAATGGAAAAAAATTATTTTTAATTACAGAAAAATAAAAATATTGTAAAATACAAATAAATAAAAAATACCTCAAATGTGAAGTGTTAAATTAAATTTCGTCTCTCCAAGCCTTATTTGTTTTGAATAAAATTCTTCTGACTTATGCTCTAGAAAAGTAATGTGATTCGATACATCTTTTTTTCTTTTTTTTTAAATTATCTGGTATTTTTGACATTGACCTGATGGTTTAGTTAGTGTGTGATGGTTTAATTGATTTAAATAAAATTAATTAATTTTAAAGGGAATCTAATTACTATTTACTGAAGGTTAGAGAAATATCAACTTTGTGATTGTGAATAATTATACAATTTTCGAAGGACAGTATAGCAATGATTCATTGATTAAAGTTGTACATAGCCAAAAATATAAAAATATTGGTATCAAATTTAATATGAATTTCTGTATTTATTTAACAAACTTTAACACAAGAATAAGTACTTTTTAAGCTATATTCTGGTTAATTCTGGATCTAATACGCTATATAAAAGATATTAGAAATCAACAATCCGTAGTGAAAAGTAAAGTTTTTCGTATCCCATTTTTTTTTTTTCTTTAGCAGTATGCTTTAATTTTAAAAATTTAATGATTATTATTTTTTTAACTCATTAACAAAAAAAAATCAAAGTTTTGAAAAGATAAATAACATTCAAAACAGGAAAATATTTTTAGATATTTTTTTTAATTATTCCGTATCAATATGTAGTTTGTAAAATGCATATGAAAATTTTTTTAACCAAGGACATCTAAGAAACAGGTATATTTTACTAGAAGAAGTACGCTTTTGGGTCTGAATTTATAACTTAAAATATCATCTGCACTAAATAAATACCATGTTGGAGCCATTCAGTTTGAATCCTATCCAAGTAGCACATATCTCAAAAACGATATCGTAAAAACTTGGCTTCGAACATTGTACAATATCGTAGCGAAACATTGTACTATATAAAAATGGACCCCTTTTATAACGTTTATTCAATATCGCGAAACAATATTGTTCGATTATTGTAACAAATGTGGGGGAATGTCGATCGAAATCTCTCAGCATTTACAAACGTTGTACATTGTCGACCGACATCGTCAACACGATATTCAAAAAACGAATGCTGTGGATTGCCGACGATAGCCAAAATTACGTTATTTTTGAAACTAAAAATTAGTTTTTGAAAATATTCATGCATATTTGTAACCCGGAAAAAGCTGATAACAAAACCGTTCCAGCTTGCTTAAAATTAAATTATTTGTTATTACCGAAACTTATAGAAATTTAAAGTTTGCAGCTTAGTTTTTTTTTTTTTTTTTCATTGCTTTTATATAAGCTATCTGCTCTTCCCCAGGAAAGACATGCTCATATGTTATAACATTTAATAAGTTTTGGTAGGCAGGTATATTTTACTATTATTCTAGAAATTAGATAGTTTTGTTAAGAGATTTCTTCTCTTTTTCAGGGTACAAGCAGCCATTTATATACTGTGAAATAATTTTAATATTTTAAGTGATTTGTGCAATAATTTTTACAGCATCTATATATTACTACGTAGAATAAAATTGCAAAATGTTTAATTTAAAACGATAGACTATTTTGCTGTGAAGTTTCAGTATATAATCTAAATAAAATAGCATTGTATGGAAAACAGAATTTCTTATCTTCACAGCATCAAGTTGATCAAGTTATTCAGGGTGATTCAGTTTTCTTGTTTTTCCCTGCGCACTGTACAAATCTTAATTTCTGTGTTTCATTAGATTTATTTCTGCAGGGATGGCAAGTTTCTTCTACTTTGGAAAAAACTTACCCAGAAGAATAGGTTTCTTCTAACCCAAGTGAAAAAAACACTTTTTCGAAACGAAATACAGTAAACCTTAATCAATCATTCCCGCATCTTCCATTTTATCGTATTTATTGATGCTAGAATGAATGTAAGTAAACTATTATTTGTGCACATATATGTGTTATTTGCGATCGCAACGCTCGAATACGACGCTGGAGAGAAGACGGGATCCATGTCTTGACCCTCCTCTCTCCTCAGCTGTATGGATGGTGTTTTCTACACTAGGGAACGCTGCAAGCTCGGTACCGCCTAAATTTTCGGGTTACTGTTTCCGTTGTATTTTAAAGCCATTTGGCATCATTGTGTTTTGAGATTCTTGCAAACAATGTATTTGATTACTTACTACTTGTGTTTACAATGCTAACAATACTGGTGTTTACAATGCTAAAAGTGTTAACACTAACGTAAGATGGTGCACAGCTTGCAACAAGAACAAATAGTAATAAACTTATGGAAAGAGGCCATATCAACACTGCCAAAAAAGCGAGTTATTCAAAATCTAGCAACCATGTCACCTTTTTTAACAATATATCTCTAAAAACTGAAACACATTTTCACTTCAAACTCACCAGAATTACATATTATATTAACATTAATATCTTAAGAAATATGGCAGATTTGAGCTCAGAAATTATCTAATTTATTTCTTTTATTGAAAACAAAAGTATCAGTTTGAAAACAACGCATATCAGAATAACATGTAGTAAGCAGCTACAAACTTTTTAACCGGAACTAGAGTAGGTGCCGAGCTCGAGATTGATATTGCTTACATTTCTATTGAAAACACCATCCATGGATGGTTGACTGAATGCAAATAATAACAAGCTGCCTAAAACCGGAAGAAATTTAGAAAACTCCTGATGTATTCCAACGCTTATGTTATTTCCGATCGCAATGCATGAATACGCCATCTCGAGAGAAGACCTGTTCCATTTCTTGATCCTTCCCCTCCTCCTCTTCTCAGTTGTATATTAATGTACTATAGTACGGTATTTTCCATTTTCTTAATATTTTCCGTACTTAATTGTCCCTAATATTTTGCATAAATTTCCGCAACACTTTCTTACAGAAGTATGTTCAATGTAGTTTTCAGTCCCATATAGTTTACCAACTTGAATGTTTTTAATCCATTTGAAAATCAAGAGGGAAACTGACGTGCTCCCTTCGCCTATGACTCTCCACATGCTAATGGTGAACCTTATAAGCCCATTTCGATCGCGATTATTGCTTACGAGGCGATGCGTGAACAGGCTGAATATTCTAGGAAGTTTTATAGTGATTTGTGTTTAAATTTACGTGTAATTTTACCATTCATAAGAGTTATTTTCTAATTTATAAATTCTAACAGGTTGTGAGCCTAAAACAAATTCAAGAAAATTAATATCAAAGCATAAATAAAGTGTAAGGTTTGCTGAGCGTTATCTCTTATTTGGCTATAGCTGTGCACAGTAATTTTTTGGATTGCATCATAAGCATGCCTGTGAAGTCTTCCGAATACATTTGTTGCCTGTTTCGTTGAAATTTAAATTGAAAGTACGCGTTATTTTGTAAACATATAATTGTAGAATTATAATAATATTGGATGGTGCGCTTTTTTTCTTTTTCAAGCTTAAGCTAAAAATCAATCAAGTAGTAACCCGGAAGTCTTACGACGAATTTTAAACCCTGAGCTGTGCTTAGCTATACACAGTCAATTATCCATAATCCTGTCTTAACAGTCCCCTCAATAATGCTATTCTTATAATGTTAAAAGTAATACCAGTTTAGATCACTTTTTTAAACTAGAAGATTCTTACCTCCATCGTTCAGAAATTTTACCGACACTTGAAAAAAAAAGTAAGCTATTTTGTTTTCAGAAGAAAAACAGCAACTAACTAGAACTGAACTAACCTACTGATGCTAATGATAAAGAAAGAAAATGAGTATTTATTACAGCTAGGGAAAAATGCCTCAAATATTATATTTGATATTAATGTTTCAGTTGATGAAATATGGTGAATTTTTTGAATGGGAACACTTAAAAAATACTCTCATATGAGATGCGAATAACAATTGAAAATATGTATGTGTAGCCTCCAGACGCAACTCTTTGTCAGTCACTGCTACTCTTCCAAAAGATGTTTTGAAAGAAAGAACAATAAGATTTCCTTCTTCCAAAGAGTTGACTTCAGTCAAGATTACAGATTCAGAATGCAAAATATGCTAAAACTCTAAAAAAAAATTCTTTTGGAAGAGTGACGGTTAAGGTAACTGATACAGAATTGCATCAGGAGGCCAAACATATTTTTAAATGTTAGTCTCATTTTCTATGAAGCTGTTTTCAACCTTTTCTATTCGAACAGGACTTATGAATTAATAAACTATTAACCAAACTAAACCAACCTATTTTACCATATCAGTGTTGCTCCCTCTTTTAGAAAGTAAACTAAAAGTTTTCCCTCTTTCAAATACTTACTTTCTGTCATATATAGCTTCAAAATGTAAAATAAAGTGCAAAAACAATTCTTTTTTCTCAAAAAATTCTCTTTTGGAAGAGTGACGATGACTTAGGCCATGCATATCCTCAAATGTTAGTCCTACTTTCTATGAAACTGTTTTTATCCTATTCTATTCAAGAGGACTTTTGAATAAAATTTATTAACTTTACTTATCCAACCTATTTTATCATACCAGCGTCTCTCCTTCCTTTAGAAAATGAACTAAGTTTTCCCTCTTCCATTCAAAGATTTACCTTCAGTCAAGATTATAGTTTCAGAATGCAAAATAATGTGTTAAAACTTTTTTTTAATGAGTGACGGTGATTGAGGACAGATATATCTTGAAATAT